TATTTATTTTATGTTTAATTAAAGAATTTTCCTTATCAATATTTTTCTTTTCTGATGAAAAGAGCAAGGCCACATTCTTGTAGTGATAGAGGAATAGATAGTGATAGATGGGGTTTGTAAATTCTGTAGAAAATTTAGTTCTTATGTCAATCTGTGAATTTCTGTATTTACCCAGATTAAAGAATGGTGATGAGGGGACTTTCTTACGAAGCTGCTGCACAGCTCAGATGCAGTGTTGAGAGTAAAAAAGAATGAGACTTTCCTAGAGCACTCCTCTATACAGGACCTCAGGGCCATAAGCCACACACCGAAATAACTAAGGGTGATGAGCTGGGTCATAATTTCTAATTAGGTATGGTTCAAGATATATCCCATTCTGATCATAACTCATTAATAAAACAAATAACTTGTTTCAGAATGAGCTTTTAAGCTCAGACCAAAAGGCTAGAATTTTCAGTACATTTACAACACATTATAACATGGAAGGCAATGACTAGAAGGGCCATATTACTTAATCCATTTCACCACAATCACTGTCTCCAATTGTTTTGTCTACAATGTAAAATTTAGATTCCTGTCCTTGTGATAAAGAATCTTTCAGGTTCTCAAGGTTATAGGAGTAATGATGGAGCTTATTGCAGCTAAGATTTACACATGTTCTTCATTGTCAAAAATACCCCAAGAGATTGGAGATATTTAATGCCATTAAAACACTCATGAAGTGGAGTCCAAGCCACCCAGTACTTACTTTGGAGCATAGTTGCATACTAAATAAACTGCACGTCGCCATACAGATCCCCAAACGTTCATGTTTTGGCAAGTATGAATCGCACATCCTATCCGATTAGAGGTGGCCCAAACCATCTGTGAAATAAATCATTATGCTATCAATTGAAGTCAGAACTAAGAAAATAAACTGCTACCAAGATAGCAATATCTACTTTAAAGCATAAGCCAGAGATAAACAAAGCAATAAAAATAACCTGTGTGTAATGTGTGCACATGGGGCCATAGCACCTCATAGGACATCTCGGGTTGCAATCCTGGGGATATGGAAATGCATAATCCTTCACTTCATCATACCATGGTTTGACCAATTGGAGAATAGAGCGATATCTATATAGTAAGAAATAAAATGAGAACACTGATTATAGTGACGGTTAAATACTCATAATACTCATAAATACTTTAAGGTTATATGGTTCATTCTCACTCTTATAGCCATTGAGATGGAACTCTATTGAGATGGAGTTGCCCTCCATTGTTTCGAAGGCTATAAGTCAAATGGGAGGAGACTGCCCATATATTTTCCTACAGAGGCCCTGGTGGATTTGAACTACCAAAGTGGCATGGCTATTGAGTTAGCCAAGCAACTATCCATGAACTATGCCGCCAGAGCTCCCTTTATATAGTTGACTTGCTGAATTGTTAATTTCTTTTTTTCTATTTCTTTATTTTAGATTAATTAGCAAGAGTGGTATCCACTTCAAAAATAGCTTGGGTCTGGAAACTCTATGAATGTGGAGAAACAATGAAAGTTATACAAATGTTCAGGTCTTTTGTTCATAGGGTTGCTATAAGTCGTCTACAACTTGACGGCACTTAACAACAATAACAGTATGATGATGCAAGAGCATACTCATCCTCCCCATTTACCACGACTTTGTAAAGTCCTTGATTCTGTCAAGTTGGGACAAGTATGAAAATGCCAAGGGCAAAAGCATGATTCCTGTATTTGTCTGATTTTGGTTGGGCGTTTTTTTTAGTTGTTTTGTTTTTTTAAATTTTGGTTGTTTTAAAAATAGAAAAAAATTTAAATAAATAAATATATATATATATATATATACACACACACACACACACACATATGCCTACTTTAATGTATGCTAATGCTTACTTTCTTCAGAACATTATAAATAGCCAAGAATTAAATATACAAATATAGTAGGATAAGGATACTAGGAAAATGATATGATTATCCACTTTATACCTGAAATACTTTAAGGTTATTAATAGCACATCTGAATTTCCGTTCCATCATGGAAGGGCTCTGGTAACCCAAAGACAGGCAGTTTTAATTCACTAACTGCTCTGCAGGAGAAATATAAGCAATCTCCTCCCATGTGATTTACAGCTTCTCAAAATTTGCTGGAGGGTCAACTGTGAATTGGTTCCAACTCCACAGCAATGAGAGTGAGAGAGATGTGAAAGAGAGTGTTGGGGAACTTGCTACCAGGGTAGAAAATTTTACCATCAATAAGAACAGGTTTTTCCACTGTTGTATATAGTTGGTACTGACCTGAACTATCTCACTTAGGAATCATACCAGATATAAAAATTCATATCTACTTTGGTTTTGGATACAGCCCATTATGTTATGCTCTCTTACCCTGCCTCTTCTCCAAGATACGTATTTTAGTGAACTGAACATAAGAATGGTTTTTCACAGTCTATACATTTCCCCCCCTGAGCTGAGAAGCCTCCTCATTTTAAAGCATCTACGGGGCCATGAAGAATATAGACTAGCAGACATGTTCCAAGTATGTAGGGAGAAGCTGATCTTATCAAGCCCCATTAAATACTTGACCAATATTTGACTACATCTGAAGCATTCACAGGCAAAGCATCAATGTCTGAAACATGGTGAGTACATTTACAAATATTCACTCCTGTCACTTGAAATTGGTGTAACTCCACATTGGCCTTCATAAATAATATGGATGAATTATACCAATGAAACCACTTCCTACCTTCCAGTGCGTACAGACAGATTTTGGCCCAAAAATCTTAGTAAGTAAGAAGGTCCATGGTCCCAAATACAAGTAGCTGCCCAGGCCTCTGCAGATTTTGCAAGATTTTCATCCCAAACCTGTGGAATGAAAAACTTCAGTTTTACTGACTTTGCTAGTAACAAAGGAAAGAAAGAAAAATGATGAGGCATTTTTATTAATTTAATTAAATTATTTTTCCCAATATCTATATTTGTTTCCATTCCAAAGAAGGGTGACCCAACAGAGTGTGGAAACTATAGAACAATATCATTAATTTCATATGCAAGCAAGATTCTACTGAAGATTATCTAAAAACAACTGGAACAGCACATCAGCAGAGAACTACCAGAAGTCCAGGCTGGGTTTAGAAAGTGTCATGGTTCTAGGGATATTGTAGCTAATGTTAGACGGATCTTAGCTGAAAGCAGGGAATACCAGAAGAATGTCTATCTGTGTTTCATTAATTATGCAAAGGCATTTGACTGTGTGGATCATAACAAACTGTGGCTGACTCTGAGAAGAACGGGAATCCCAGAACATTTGATCGTGCTAGTGTGAAACCTATACTTGGACCAAGAGGCAGTCATCAGAACAGAGCAAGGAAACACGGCATGGTTCAAAATTGGGAAGGGCATATGCCAGGGATGTGTCCTGTCTCCATACCTTTTCAACCTGTATGCAGAGCAGATTAACTGGGAGACTGGGCTCTATGAGGAGAAGTGTGATGTCAGGATTGGTGGAAGATCTATTAACAATCTGCATTATACAGATGACAAAACCCTGCTTGCTGAGGAGGACCTGAAGCGTTTGCTGCAGAGAGTAAAGGACTGCAGTCTTCAATATGGATTGAGGCTCAATATCAAGAAGACAAAGATTCTCACCACTGGACCAATTGGCAGCATCAGGATGGATGGTGAAGAGATTGAGATTGTTCACAAATTTAGTTTGCTTGGCTCCACAGTCAACACTCTTGGCACCAGCAGCCAGGAAATTAAAAGATGTATTGTGAGGGGGAAGTGTGCTGTTAAGGGACCTCTCCAAAGTATTGAAGAGCAATGGTGTCACACGGGAGATTAAGGTGTGTATGATACAGGCCATGGTCTTTGCAATCACTTGTTATGTGTCAGAGAGTTGGACAATGACTAGGGAGGATAGAAGGAGAATTGATGCCTTTGAGCTGTGGTGCTGGATAAGAGTATTGAATGTACCATGACTGCTAAGAAAACAGATTCATCCTGGAGAAGGTTAAACCAAGCTGCTCCTTGGAGGCAAGTATTCTGCGGCTTCGTCTGACATACTTTGGACATGTTGTAAGGAGAAACCAGTCCTTGGAGAGCGACATCATGCTTGGTAGGGTGGAGGGACAGCGCAGGAGGAGAAGACCCTCTATGAGGTGGATTTATTCAGTGACTGGGGTAATCGGGATGGGTGTGTCAGAGGCAGTGTGATTGGCACAGGATAGAGCAGGGTTTAGGGCTGTTGTACATAGGGTCGCTATGAGTCTCAAGTGACTGGACGGCACATAACAACAACAACAACAACAAGATCCTAACACTAACTCAAAGGCACACAGCTCAAATCTACTAGCTGCCCCTTGGGAGAAGGATGAGCAATCTCTTCCTCTGTATTTTAGTGCCTCTGAAAATGTGCTGGAGAGTCAGCTATGAGTCAGTTCTGACTCGAAAGCACACAACAACAAGAAGACTCTTTGAACTTTCAATTCTGAAAGAAATGGGTCATCATGAACTCTGTTGATCTGGTTGTAAAAAGTTGCATTGTCAATCGAAAGGCAGAAGGTTCAATCCCACAAGCTGTTCCAAGGGACAGAGATGGGCATTCTCTTCCTGTGCAAACTGCAGTCTGTGAAAATCTTCTGGAGGGCAGCTACTTGTCATTCATGACTCTAGGATACATAACAACAACAACATGCTGTATGTCGGGAGTCTATAGGTGCTATAAATGGTTAAACGCCAGACTACTAGCCAAAAGGTGAGCAGTTTGAGCCCCCTCTGATGTGTCCTAGAAGACAGCTCTAGGAATGTTCTTAAAAGTCAGAGCCATGATAATCCCATGGGGTGGAGTTCTACTTTGACAAACAGAGGGTTGCTATAAATCAAAATTGTCTCCATGGAAACCAACAATAATTACTGAAAAGCATGGTGGTTTTACCCAACCCAGGAGAGCCTAGAGAAACTGGCCTGGCAATCTGCTTATGAGGAGGTATAAGTCCTGAAAACACTCAGAAGCAGTTGTAATCTGTATATGTGGGGTCACTGTAAGTCAAAATAACCAGGAAAATTAACTTGGCAACTCCAAGTGACCTCTGGAAAATCTATTCTGCACATGGAAATCACCTTCAAAATCTTTTAGAGTTTTTGCAGATTTCTATGTTTTATTATTGTCATGAATACTAGGATATCAGTTGCATATGATTATATAGCAGTCCTATAGACATTTGTTTCCTTAGACATTTATGTGCTCATTTTTCACAACATCAACTTAAAAGAAAAATAACTTCACTTTGGATATTTAATCTTTTTCTGGGCTAGTCAGATTGGGAAAGGAGTGTTGATTTACAGAAGTAAAAAACAGCCATTAAAAAACATTAAGCGATGACAAAATTATTTCCCCTGAGGGAAGCCAAAAGGTTTTAAAACACTTCATAAGCATGATTGTGGTTCTGTTTAATATTAGTGGCTTTATCCTCCTCAGATAGAAATGCGAGTGACATGCCCAATGGAGAAAACGGAGAGCGGAATCTATAACCTGTGTTGAACCAGATGGAAGGGCAGGAATGAGCTTTGGCAAGGCTAGAGAGGGGCATGGTGAGGTAAATCAGAGTAAGAGAAAAAGTTTATGTGACTATTTAAGGAACTTATTACAATGACCAATGAGGTAGGTTAAGAGTACAAAGTCAAAGTAAGAGGAAAACGTTCATGTAAATATTTAAGCAACTGATTACAATGATCAATGATCAAATGCTACCTATTTCTTTCTAGTTTAAAAGTGTAGAAGGAGAGAGTTAAAAAGAATTTTCATACAATATTTTCCCTCCAGTGTCCAAAGTAACTACAAAATCTTGGACCATTCCATCCTGAAATATCAAGGTGGGTCCTATGCATCTTTAACTAATAATGAATTCTTCCATCAAGTCAGATAATTACCACTGTACATGTCAGTGGGAAAGGTAAACACAAGCGCAACCACATGAGGGAAAGTTTCAGAGGCAATGTTTTATATCTCTGAACCATTGCCAGCAGCATAAATATCTTTTATGTGTGTACCGTCAAATTGGATCTGACTGGTACAGAAGGCGATTGTTCCTCCTTCTTCAGCAGAGCATCTGGTGGATTTGAACCGCGCACCTCTGGGATTGCAGTGCAGTTTCCTGCCACTAGGCCACCAGAGCTCTCCAAATGTCTTCAAAATAAAACAAACAACTCCCTCTCTTGACTCCTTTTCCTCGTCAACTGCTACAGTTTTTCCCTTTCCTTTTACAAGTGTTCCAACAGGTTATCTTGAAACGTCCACTTTTTCTTTGCCTTCTTCTCTTGAGGATAGAGATTCTTGTCTCACCATTCTATCCAAATGGCTCACATCAAGATCATCAGTGACCATTTCTTGATCACTGTCATACTTGATCTCTCAGTTGTTTATGACATACCTAATCTCTCATTCCTCCAAATACGCCTTCAACATGACAGCACAGTTACTTTACAGTTTCTTTTCTCTATCTCTTTGCTGATTCCTCTTTTCCCTCCTACCTCTAAGTCCTCAGGCTTCCCAAAGCTCAATACTAATCCATATTTTTTTATCATTTTACCATTTTTACAGCCTTTGCATTCACATCCAGTCTCCTAGACTGAAGAAACTATTCAGTACAGATGATATTATTTAAAATTAAATCTCTTCCTTAAATTCCAGACTAATTTATCCAGCTATTGAACTGTAAAACTCTATTAAAATTCAGCTCCAGATGTTTATATTTTCCACTCCCACTCCACCTCCAAAGCAGCTACTCCTGCAGGCTTGTCCCATTAAAGTCATGTCCCTAACAACACCTTTCTAGTTCAAAGGTCAGCAAATGATGGTGCATAGGTAGTTCTGGTGTATTAGTGGTAAGGAGTCATGCTGCTGACCCAAATGGAAACAGTTTGGATCCACTAACTGCTTCACTGGAGAAAGATGGGCTGTCTTCTCCCATGCAATTTACTGCTTCTGAAAACTCACTAGAGGGTTAACTTTGAGTTTGGTTCCGACTTGATGTTACAAAACACAACAGGCCTGAATTTGTTTCTCATAGTGTCTATACCTATATTCATGCTACAACAACAGAGATGAGCAGTTACAAAAGCAACCATAAAGTCTGTAAAATGAACACATATTTAGTATCTGGTCCTTTACAGAAAGAGCTTACTGACTGCTCTATCAGTTGCCTGAGTCAAAATCTATAAGTTATTCTCCGTGCTCTCTTTTTTTCATAGTTTGTGTCTCCATCAGCAAACTTATTGGCTACCATCAAAGTCCTGCAAGTGTAGATTATATTAGTCATCACCACTGTGGCCACCCTCTTAACCAAATCTACTAAATTTTGTCACCTGAGGTGCAGAAAATTCTTTGGAAGTAGAGGAATGAATGTCCAATAAGACTTTGGTATAAAGAGTAATAATTAGAATGGGCAAAAATAAAATATATTAAGAGAAAAGTATGTTTAGGTACAATTGGTGATTAGGAAAGCACAAAAAAGATTTTAGTGTTATTCAGAATATTCTAGTTAAAATACAATTAATAAAATGAACAAAACATCATTGGATAGAAATTGACAAATGACAATTGCAGCTTGGTCCCTGGGCAGTTTATGTAACTTTAAAAATGTTAATAGAGACTTTAAAAAGTATTGTATTTGTTCCACCTATCGCAACACCAAGAAGACAAAGATCCTCACCAGAGGCCCCACAGTCAACATCACGGCAGATGGAGAAAAGATTGAGGCTGTTAATGATTTCAACTTGCTGGGATCAATAATCAACACCCTTGGTACCAGCAGTCAGGAAATCAGGAGATGTATCGCATTGGGCAAGTCTGCTGTCAGGAGACT